AAAAGAACTAGATACAAGAATTAGGCAAAAATGACTTGTTTTCCCATCTGGTCAAGCTACTTAATTTCGAAGTGTTATTCGAAAAAGAATCTACTCATAATAGCAACGAAAAGCTGAAAAACAGCTTAGGAATTTGCTTACAAGGAGCAGCGCAGGGCTGGTGAGAGAACTCTATTGACACCTTATGCAGGAAAATAAGAATGTCTGCATAAATAGAGTCACACGTTCTAGAAAGGAAGCCTCAGATGGAAAGATGTCAATTCTCCCTCATGTAACTAATAAACATAACGGGGTTCCAGGGGACGCAGCCGAGGGGACGTCAAGCTCATTTGGAAAAGCAATTGCTAGCAGGGAGCCAGGAAAATTTTGGACATAAATGATAATGAAGCGATGACAAGGTGACCTTACCTTACCTGAGACCAAAACACGCCAGGAAGTGACAGGATTAAGACGGCGTGGGTTTTGCGTGGGGAGCCTTGCTCAGGGCTCGGCCTCCCTTCCGGGCTGGGGACCTCGGGTTATCTGCCGAGCTTCTCTAAGTTCATTTCAGTAACAGGGGGATCAGAAAGGCCTCAGGGTCGAGAGGGAAGCAGTGAGCTGAAGCGTAAGTGGCACTTAGCACGGTGCCCGGAGCAGACGCTCAGTAGATGGCATTATTTTATTCACGGTGGACAGGCGTAAATAAGTGAATCGTTAATTGGCTTACGGGCCAAGGAAAAGCCAGTTGCGCTGGCGGTTACCGGTTGCTGGCCCCTTGGTGCGATTTCCCCGTCGGAGCCCGGGCTGGACGCGCTCCCAGCACACAGGAGGCAGAACGAGGTGCGTGTTGAACTTGGATCCGTTTCCTCTGCCCTCAGCGCTCCTCCAGGTGGTTCTCTGGTTTCGCGTGGTTGTCCTTCCGACTGTGAGTCACAAGGCCACCCCCCGCCACTGTTTCGTGTGGGACTTGTTGAAGGCGGGGTGAGCCGGATCCTCCTGTGGGGACAGGGCCTCTGCCCCTGGCTGTTCGTGTCCAGGATGCACCCCCCGCCCCAGGGTGCTGAGTTCAGTACAGTGTGGGGAGCCCCCTTCCAGGCCGGCCCCACCCACCCCAGCCTCCAGCACTCCCTGGGCTGCCGGCAGGGAGAGAACAATATTTTCCCAAACGCGGTCTGTGTGTGACCTGGCGTGAAGCTCCAGGGTGACCTTGGGACAGTTTGCAAGGAATGAAGCAGAGAGCAGGGCGACATCTCATATCCTAAGAGCACAGTCAGCATCACAAGGGCCCTGGGGGCTGTCATCACAATGGTCCCCTCTGATGTGGGAGGGGACAGCACCTGGAGAGTGGCCTGTCCTGGGCGGAAAGGGGATTGTTCCAAATGGGAGGAGGATGGAGTGGGAAGAGCATTGGATGGCGAGTCGTGAGGCCTGTGTCTGAGCCACTGGGCCTCTCAGAAGACGAGATACCTGCAGCCTCTCCCACTAGGCTGTCCCCTCCCAGAGGGCAAGACCAGTGTCCTGTTTGTGGTCCCAGGGCCCGCCAGGGGTCCTGGTAGACTGCGAGTCCTGGAGGTGCCCTCTGCATTGAGAATGTGGGGGCCACGCAGGCCTGGGCAGAGTGAAGCCCACGTTATGGCTGACCTTCCAGAAGCGCTCATTGAATGGTGCTCCCAGGATCCCATCCCGTCTAGCTGACACTCATCTGTGGACCTTGTTCATCAAAGGCACAAGTTCATGGATACCAACAGGGACAGGACTTGGGGTCCAGGGTTAGAGGTCAACCTAATCGGGGTCAGTGCCCATCTGTGGCCCATCATTCGGTTTGTGGCTGAATTGGTTTCCTCCCTTCCTGCTCCAGCCCCCACTTTTCCCATCGCTGTAAATGGTACCACATCCCCCCAACCCCCCAGGCCATAGACGTAGGAGCCATCCTGGTTTCTCTCCTGTCTCTCGCCATCCAACCCAATCCATCAGCAACCCTCGTCAGCTCCACCACCCCTTAAGACCGCAGAGCCACCCACCTGCCCCCATCTCAGCGCTGAGCCCATGGCCCAGGCCGTGCCAGGTGGGATGGAGCTCAGAGCGCCTGCGAGCGGCTGGTGCTGCCCGAGTCCGGGCTTCAGCGCTAAGGAGCTCATTTCCCCAGGGAGACAAGCACCATCTTCCAGCATCAGCTTTACCAGTAAGAGCGGTAACATTTCTGTCTTGTTTCTCGGTTGTTCGGAACTCGATGAGGATGGGACATTTCTCAGACCCCCTCAAAACCTCAACGCGAACACCGCCATCACACTCCAGAGGCCCGAGAACGTGCTGTTTATAACTTCCTGGAGCCCTCGTTTCAGCTAGTCAACATAACGCTTACGGTCGCCACTCTACGAATTAAAAAGTAAGACCGAGCTGGGCAGCGACTTGACCGAGGTCACCCAAAGTCGAGCCTCAAGTCCAGGTTTCACCAAATTTCGCTGTCACAACTTCCTCCTTTTGGCTCAAGGTTTGAATCCCTGTTCCAATGGGGTTCTTTTACTCTATAGCTACAGTCATAGAGACAGTGAGGAACTGGCAGACAAGACTCAGAGGAATGGGGCATCTTCTGGACGGGGGGGTGACCATCACAGTGGAGCATAAGGGGTCCCTTTGTCTACATGTGCGATAACATCTCACAGAACTCCAGCTTCCTCTCCAGATGGCGTGTTAACACCGGTCAAATCGGAACAAGATCTGTAGTTTGGGTAACAGATTCGTATCGATGTCCGTTTCCTGATTTTGATCATCTACGGTGACCGTGTGAGATGCTATCATTGGGGAAGGTGGACGAAGGGCGGGAACTCTATTAATCTTGCAACTTCCTGCAAGTCTTACTTTACTTCAAAATAAGAAGTTTCAAGAAAGTGCAGCTTCCCCTGAAAGATGAAGATCGGCTTTAATCTTGGGCTGGCAAGTGAATTTCAACTCCCACGCCGGCTGCAATCGGTTGATAGGGGTTCTCTGCGTCACAGTCCTCGATATGAGGCCCACCGGGGCTGCACCCGGGCTCAGCGGGAGCCCGTGTGGTAATGGATGAGTGATGTCTGCTGTGACCGCTGGCAATGGCAGGGGGGCAGGGATCAGGGGCACACCGAGTGTGTGCTCACTCCCTGACAGCTCAGTGTGAGCCACACTCTAAGAATGGCCGGGGTAGGGGGCTGCGCAGACAGGTGGACAGTATGATTCCATTTACATCCAGTTTCAGAACAGGCCACATGAACAGCATCAGCTCCTGGGGCTGGGGTATTGATTGGCAGCACAGGGGAGATGAAAAATGTTCTGGATCTTGATTTCAGTGTGGATGACTCCAGTGTGTGCATTTGTTAAAAGTTATCGACCGGTACTTTAAGATCTGTGCATTTTATTATATATAAATTATACCTCAATAATAAAAAAAAAAAGGATGTCACAAAGCTCTGAAAGAAAAACCGTTTCCATTAATAAAACATAACCAAAGCTTCCAACGCTGTTATTGGAAGGAAGTCCTGGTGGGGGAGGGGCAACTGGGCCAAATGCTGGACGGGGCTGAGCCTCACCTGCCCCCTGGGGATGGGACCATGTGGGACAAAGTCCTAGCCGCGCCACTTACTAGCTTGGATGAGTTGTTAAACCTCCCTGCCTCAGTTTCCTCAGCTGTACGATGGGGACAGCGCTGGCGCCTGCCTCACAGGGCACTTGTGAGCATTAAGGCGGCTAGTCCAGTGAAGAGCTCGGACCGGACGCGCTCTATAAAACCTTAGCTGCCGTGATGGCTGTGGCGCTCCTCCTCTCTTTGACTCCCGTGGCTGACAGCTGCTGTTCGTCCCTCTTTAGCAGCAGGGTGACCCTCAGACTCTTCCTCCAGCGTCCCCGAGACTCGCTGGATTTTCAAAAACACCCAAGTCTCCAGGAAGAGGACAGGGAAATAACCACTATGTGGCTCCCCCAGGGTCGTCTGAGCCTCACAGAGCAAGCTTGCCCCAGGCTCTGTCCTCTCCCATGGGTCCTTGGGACCCCGGCACGCCCATTCCCAGACCCTCTGAGTCCTAGCTCTGGATGGGCTCTGGATGAACGATGCTCTCTCAACACGCGCCGTCCTAGGTGTTTCACGGACTTGGAAAGACAAGAGAGCTCCCGAGACTCTGCTGTCCGTCGACGTCCGTTCTTCCCAGCTCCTGGTCTGAGAGCCATGTGTCTGCACTGGCCACTGCCTCCAGGACCATCTCACCCTCCAGTACAGTCCTGCCCTCTCCCCTCCTCGGGGTGTTTAGTCCCCTACACAGGGCTTGCAAAGGAAAAGAGGTGCTGTTTCTTCCCAAGAATGAGTCTGTGACAGCACTGGGGACATCTGGCTGAGCCAGGAGGGAAAACAAGTTTCCTTGGGGATAACGGAAGAAGGGGTGACATGGTGGGGTTCATGGAGCTCCCCCAGAGAAAGAGCAGGGAGAGCAGGTGCTCCCGGGCTGGTCTCGCTGGAGCCAGCCTGTGCGGTGTAGCGGGTTCCAGGCTGAGACCCAGGGGTGGCTGCCCCACGTGGGGTTGTCAGGGCCAACAGGGCAGAAAAAAAATGGCCTTCTGCCTGGGCAGGGGGCTCCTCAGCAGCAGAGTTTGCACAGCACTGTCGTAATAACGTACAGCCAGGAATGCTCCAGTCCACTGCCAGCTTTCAGAGAACCCAGAAGCAGCTGAGGCATGGGGAAGCTTGAAGGCTTGTGTGGGGAAGATTTGTCTGTCCTTCCTTCTATACGGCTGTCTATCCATCCATCCATCTGCCCATCCATCCATCCATCCATCCATCCATCCGTCCATCCGTCCATCCTTCCCTCTGTCCATGCATCCATTTATCCATCCATGCATTTGCCCATCTATCTATGCAGCTATCTATCTGACTATCCATCCATCCATCCATCTGTCCACACATTTGTCCATCCATCTATTTGTCCACCCATCCATCCATCCGTCTATCCATCCATGCATTTGTCCATCCATCTGACGATTCATCCAACCTTCCATCCACCCAATAATTTATTGTGCCCATTATGTGCCAGGCACCAGGCTGGCCCCTGGAGGTGCACAGGTAAACATGTCATTTGACCTCAAGGTGCTTATGGCCCATTTCCAGAGACGAACAAGCAGGCAGTGCAATGTGGTACAGGGAAGGCAGGGGTGCTGGAAGCGCATAGGAGGGACACCGAATCCCGGACCTGGAGATGCAGGGTAGGATTCCTGAGGAAGCCACATCGAACTTGACACCTGAAGGATGAGGTGACGCTAGCTGGGTGTGGTGGAGATGGCTGGTTGTCTCTAGAACTCACGCTCCCCTTCCGTGGTGTAGACTTGTCATTGGAAAGACACCATGTCTTCCAGCCCACCGCCTCCTTGCCGGTGTGGGTGGGCCATGAGATCCACCTGGTGGAACGTGAGTGGAAGTTGGATGTGCCATTGCTGGGCCACGGCTGTTAAGAGGCAGATGCGTCTTCTCCAGTCTCTCCTCCTCGATCAGGATGCAGATGCTGACGGGATGGATGGCAGAGCCACGGGCGGAAGGAGGCTGGATCCTCGAGTCTGGATGGAAGAGAGCCACCCGCAGGGCAGGAACGCCCACTTTGTCCTGCTGTGAGAACAGCAAACAAGCTGCTGTTACCTTAAGCCCTGGATGGTTGCAGTCCATCTGTTACAGCCGCCGGGGTTCCCTGCAGGGAAATGAAGACACACCCCGCGAAGACAGACAGAGGAAAGGGACAAGAGAGCTCAGAGGAAAGCTCAAGTGTGAAAGTCTTTGGAAGAGGGAAGAGCGAGATGTCAGGTGAGGCTGGGAGGTAGACAGGCCTGCGCGGGTTACTACTCCGTCCTGAGTCAATAGGGCAGAACCAGGCTAGACAGCCCCAGGCATTCCCCGCTCTGCCCTCAGGAGCAGAGAAGACAGATCCCTTGCTGACGGTCATCTGGGCAGTGAAGGCAGAGTTGGACCCCAGCCCGGGTGTCGCTGACTCCACACATCTGAGCACGCAGCCCGGGGCCCCCAACAGAATGTTTACAGCAGAGAAACTCCAACATTCATCTCCCAAGAACTCGATGGGAGTCCTGCCTGTGTGGACTCCTCCAGTTTTCTGGAACTGGAACCCAACCAAGAGTGTGGTCCCCTGGTGCCAGGTCCAAGCCAGCACACAGAGTGGCCACCCCCACCCAGCTACGGTGCTCCAGCAGCTCCCGCCCTGCCTGGGGCTCTGCATCCCCAGAAAAACCAAATGGGTGTTCTGCCCGGTCTGGCTGGACTCACCTTCTGGGGGAGCCCAAAGAAACCCATCGCCCAGGGAGTGAGCTCGGCCACATGAGCCAGCCCCCACCCCGTGGTCTGATCCACAAACGGGACACGGTAGGTGGCAGAGGTCGCCCAGAGTTCCTCGCTCCTCTTGTGGCTCCTGGGTTGAGGGGGCAACGCGCCAAGACTGAAGAGAGTGCTCAACTCCTCCGCCCACACACCCGCGGGAGAGCTGGCAGCAGATATTGCTGGGCTCCCCGGGCCTGCTTTTTGTAGGCGGGCTCTTGCCGACCCACTGGGCAGTGACATTTGTTGTAGGCAGGAAAGGCTAGGGATCTGCCACCTCTCCCCAGTATGTCTGTCCTTGATTCCTGAAACAGAATGTTCTGGATCGCCTTAGTCCAAGGCCTTCCTTGGTTTTGCAAAGGTGTCTCTGGTGTTCCCACAGACAATGAAGGTGAGGTCCCGGGCAGAGCTTCTGGTACTCTGCCCACCTCTTTCCCCTATCTCATCCCAAACAATTCCTCTTTTTTTTTTTTTTAAGAAGTTCTTTTTTTGGTGAGGAAGACTGGCCCTGAGCTAACATCTGTTGCCAATCTCCCTCTCTCTTTTTTTTCTCCCTAAAGCCCCAGTAGGTAGTTGTATATCCTAGTTGTGAGTCATTCTAGTTCTACTATAGGGGACGCCGCCACAGCATGGCTTGGTGAGTGATGCGTAGGTCTGTGCTCAGGATCCAAACCAGCAAATCATGGGACACCAAAGAGGAGTGTGTGAACTTAACCACTCAGCTACAGGGCTGGCCCCCAGCAATTCCTGTTTTATCACGCCAAACTTTCCCCATCAGGTAGCATTTGAAGACAGAATTTCATTACCAAATCAAATGTTTGAAAACAACCGAGCAAGGCCAGCCCTCTGATTTTCTGGATGGAGACTCTGAAGCTCAGAAAGGGAAATACTTTTTTTTTTTTTTTCGCTGAGGGAGATTGGCCCTCAGTTAACATCTGTTGCCAATCTCCCTCTTCTTGCTTGAGGAAGATTATCCCTGAGCTAACATCTGTGCCAGTCTTCCTCTATTTTGTATGTGGGAGGCCACCACAGCATGGCTTGATGAGTCATATGTAGGTGCGTGCCCAGGGTTCCAAACCAGCTAATCCTGGGCCACCAAAGCAGAGCACATGAACTTAACCACTACCCCATCAAGCCAGCCCAGAAATAGATTTTTTGAAAAACACATGCACGTAAGATATAGAAAAGTGTCTGCTTGCCTTTTTGTTTCTGTCATCATTCATCCATCTGTCCATTCATCAATCTCTACCTTCCTCCATCCATCCATCCATTCTCCCGTCTATCCATCCATCCGTCCACCCATCCATCCAGTCAACATGTGCTGAAGGCTCAGGATGTCCTGGCCTTTTCACCCTGCAGCCTGAGTAATTGCTTCTAAAGCTCTTGGCCTTCTCAGCCCCACGGAATAGAAGGAACCTGGATTCTCATAGATCTGGGCTCAAGCTCCTTTTCTGCCACCTTCCCGCTGTGAGCTTGATTTTGGTTTCCTTAATCATAAAATGCAACCCCTGCCTCCAAGTTACGGTGGGGATTTAGCGAGGTGTGTGTCCAAGAACATCGTGAGGTCGCAATGCCTGCTCAGCGTCTGAAGGTTCTCCAGCGCTCTGTGCCTGCAGGTGGGTGGGGAGGCGAGCGAGGAAGCCTGGGCTTGCTCTTGTCCAGAAGTGCTCAGGGCCCCGAGGGAGGGAAGCCTCTGCGCTCCCCTTGCAGAAAGCCTGGCCTGGTTCTTCCTCAGCTGGGACCTAATTTTGGTCTGGCTGGAGGTGGCGTCTTCCTTTTCCCCTCATTGTCTTGGAGACCTAGAGCGAACTTGGCTGGGACCTTTTCCGCAGGAATGGCACCCCCCACACCCCCACCCCCTCTCACCGGCTTCAGCTTCTGAGGTCCCTCCCCCCGGAGACCCCCACAGCTCGCTTCCTGGCTTCCTGCGCGTCACGCCATCAATTGTCACCTCCTAAGAGAGGCCGGCCCTGACCGCCGGTCTGCCACTCTCTCTCCTTCCTCTGCTTTATTTTCATCACGGCATCAGAAATGATATCTATTTACCTGTTATAGTCCGTCTCATCCCGGCAGGAAGCAAGCTCCGTGACTCTGTTCATTGCTGCATCCCGGCTCCAGCACACGGTTGGCGCTTACAAAGATTTGTAGAAGGAGTGAATTGGTGAGAAATCAGGAAATCCCAAACTCATCTGCCCTAAAATTCACCATAGTCACTGAAATCACCCACCCAAACGCCAAAGAGCGTGTATGGCCGTCTGGGTGGAGGTGGAGGTGGTACGGGGTGAAGTCCTGGCCAGACATTGGCACGTCCCCCAAAGAAACAGCTGTCGATGTCTAGCTCACCTGGCTGTGTGTGGGAGGCTGCCTGTGGGTCACACTGCCCCCCAGGACCGGGCAGGGGAGTGACTGAACACAGGACTCTCGAGACGTTGGGCTTGGAAGTCACAGAGACCTGGGTTCAAAGCCTGAGTCTGCCACTTCCTAGGAGAAGTCGCCCAGCCTCTCTGAGCCTCAGTCTCTTTTGCGCGATGGGGCTAATGATTCCTGCCTCGTAGATTGTTAATAACCAAGGCGACCCCACAAGGGTATTCGAGCACTGGGTTACAAGGACGGCCTTTGTCACTGGGTGCCGTGAGCGAGTTGTGTGACCTGGGGCAATTTACACAACTTCTTGGTGTCTCACTTTCCCCTTTTGTAGGATGTGTGAAACTTTCATGACCTAATGCACGCAGACCAGTTGGATGTGTGCCTGGTCCTAATGATGCTCAATGGTTTTATTTTTATACTTATTTTGTAAAAATCAAGGTATATTTTAGCTACAGTGAAATGCACCAACTATTTTAATGTATGACGAAAAGGGTTTTGACAAATAATATACACAACCTTCCTCCACGTAACCCGCACCCCAATTAAGATATAGAACATTCTTGTCACTCCAGACAGATCCCGTGCCCCGTCCCAGTCAATTCCTGCCACCGCCCCTCCCCAGGAGGCCACCACTTCTGTAATATCTATCGCTACAAAGTGGCCGTGAAACTCACATGAAGGGACTCGGGCTGTGTGTCGCCTTCCGTGTCTCTAACGTTTCCGGGTTTATCTGTGCTGTCGCGTGTGTCTTAGTCTGTCTCTCGTTGCTGTTGAGCAGCGTCCGTTATATAAATACACTCCCGTTGGTTTATCCGTTCTTCTGTGGATGGTGGGTTGTTTACGCTGGAGGATAACTGGGGATGAAGATGCTATGAACGTCCTTATATCCGACTCTGTGGATGTGTTTTCGTTTCTCTCGGGCGCCTCGAAGAACAGCTGCCGGGTCATAAAGCAAGTGTATGTTTCACTCGATGAGAAGTCATTACAACCCTTTGATGCTTCTTGAGACTTCTTTTTTGGCCCAGCACACGGTCTATGGTTGGTGAATTTCCACATGCGCTCGAAAAAAATGTGTATTCTGCAGGTTTTGCGTGTAATGATCTACGAATATCGATTAGCTTACCTCTTCTGTAATCTTACTGATTTTTTGTCTCAGTTCCTGACAGAGAAGGGCTAAATTCCTGACAACCATGTGGGTTTTTTTTCTGTTTCTTCCTCTAGTTCTGTCCATTTCTGCTTCACGCATCTGGAAGCTCGGTTACTAGGTTCATCCATATCTAGGGTTATGATGTTTGATAACTGGCCTTTTTGTCGTTAAGAAATGCCCTGCTAATATTTCTCTACTTATATTCTATTTTGTCAGGTCTTAATACGGACACATCAGCTTTCTTATGCTTGTGTTTGCATAGCGGATCATTTCCCAGTCTTTTACGGGGAAAATTGCATTTGGATTTCTTCCACTTTTTGGACATTATGAATAATGTGCTGTGAACATTCCTGTAAAAATCTTTATCGCTTTTTTTATACGTCCTGAAAATGTCTGCTTTTAATTGGAGTGTTAAGCCCATTTATTTAATGTAATTGCAATTTTTTTTTTGAGGAAGATTAGCCCTGAGCTAACTGCTGCCAATCCTCCTCTTTTTGCTGAGGAAGACTGGCCCTGAGCTCACATCCGTGCCCATCTTCCTCTACTTTATATGTGGGACGCCTACCACAGCATGGCATGACAAGCGGTGCACATAGATCCACACCCAGGATCCAAACCAGGGAACCCCAGGCCACTGAAGCTGAGTGTGCGAACTTAATCGCTATGCCACTGGGTCAGCCCCATAATTGTTAATTTTTAACAGCTTTATTGAGGTTTGCTTTACATAGCATAAAACCCAGGCATTCAAAGCGTACAATTCAATGATTTTTAGTAAATCTACAGAGTGGTGCGACCATTGCCACAATACAATTTTACAAAATTTCCGTCACCCCCAAAAGATCGCTTGTACCCATTTCAGCCACTCCCCATTGCCCTCCCTGCCAGCCTTAGGCAACCACTAATCCACTTTACCTGTCTCTAGCTCTTCTTTTTCTGGAAATTTCACATAAATGGACTCATACAACATGTAGTCTTTTGCATCCACCTTCGTTCAGATAGCATAATGGTTTTGAGGTTCATCCACGTTGGAGCTTGTATCGTTAGCTTTTCCTCTTTATTGCTGAATAATATTTCACCACATGAATAGAGCACACTTTCTGTTTCTCTGATCACCACTTGATGGGCATTTGGCTCGTTTCCACTTTTTGGCCATTATGAATAATGCTCTATGAACGTTCCTGTAAAAATCTTCGTGTGGATATGTTTTCATCTCTCTTGGGTAATACCTAGGAGTAGAATTGCTCTGCTGCATAATAAAGTTATGTTTAACTTTTTGCATTCCCACCTGCAATGTATGATCAATTGCTTTTTTCTTTTAAAAGATTTTATGTTTTTCCTTTTTCTCCCCAAAGCCCCCCGGTACATAGTTGTACATTCTTCGTTGTGGGTCCTTCTAGTTGTGGCATGTGGGACGCTGCCTCAGTGTGGTTTGATGAGCAGTGCCATGTCCGCGCCTGGGATTCGAACCAATGAAACACTGGGCCGCCTGCAGCGGAGCGCGAGAACTTAACCACTCGGCCATGGGGCCGGCCCCCTGATAAATTGTTTTTTAAAGAAGAAAAGAGAAAAGAATTGTCTTTTATATTGACCTCACATATTCCACTTTCACAGTGCTCTCTCTTCCTTTCTGTAGATCTGGATTTCTATCTGGTATCTTTTCTGGTTCAGCCTGAACATCTTTTAGCATTTCTTATGGTGTGAATTGGATGGTGATGAATTCTCTGTTTTTGTTTATTTGAAAAAGACTTTTATCTTACTTTTATTTTTGAAAGATTATTTCATTGGACACAGAATTCTAAGCTGATAATTCTTCTTTCTTTCAACAGTTTAAAGACGTGTTCCATTGTTCACTAACCTGCACTGTTTCCAGTAGAGAGTCAGCCGTCATTCTTATTATCGTGCATCTGCACATAACGCACGTTTTCTCTTTTTTTGGATGCTTTAAGATACTTTTCTTTATCATTGGTTTTCTCAGTGTTACTCTCATACGCCTAGTTGTGGTTTTCTTTGTGTTTATACTGCGTTCTCTTTTCCTGCTCAGATTCCACTTTTATGTCTGCAAACGGCCTGACAGACCACACGTCACTGAGGCCCCATCTCTTCATCTTGTTCAGTCTTTTTTTCCCTCTGCGCTTCAGTCTGAATTTATTTTGACCTGTCTTCACATTTACCGATCTTTTCTTCTGCTGGGTCAAATCTACCGCTTACTCCATCCAACAAGTTTTTTGGTTCTGATGCTTTAATTTTTATTTCCAGAACTGCCATTTGTTTATTTTTTAGAATTTCCATTGATATTCTGAAAAATACCATCTCTTCATCTATTCTATTTTTTTCCTATAAATTTGTTCCTATATTTATATGTGTACTTAAGGTCTGTTTTTTTTGTTTTGTTTTGTTTTTTTGCTAATTCTAATAACATGTCTAATGTGGACATGTCTGCTTCCACAATTTGTGTTTTCTCTTAATTATGAGTCAGATTTTCCTATTTATTCTCTTGTCTAGTGTTTAATTTTATCATATTTTTCCAAGTGTGCATAAAAGAACAAGTAAGATTAAAGCACGACTTATATTTTTGGTTTTATTTATTTCCTAGAAAGTCTAAACCTGTTTTGCTGTTTGGAGGTTCCACTGAGGACCGTTAGCTCAGATATTTCTTAGAGTGTAATGGAACTGGGCTGAGAAATGGCTCTAACTAGACTGAGTTACCTGTAATCAGCCCTCCACAACATCCTCTGCCTTCTTATCCTGTCAGAGTTTGAGCTAGGAGGGGGCTTGACTGCAATTTCGGACTTTTTTGGCTAAATTTAGATCCAAGTATTTCAGGGCCCTGCACTGTAATCATTGTGAGAACGCACAAGATTATGCATTTTTTCCTACCAATGTGCCTTTCCTCCATCACTGCCTTTTGGAGAAACTTGGGTCAGGCAGGACGGAGGATGAGGGGCTGGACCAAACGACCTCTTCTTTCCTTGAGAAAATGCCCTTCCATCTTGGTGGACTGAGCCATCTCTCTGTGCCCTTCACTCCAGACCCTTCCAGGCTCCAATCTGACCTGCCATCCCGCACTCTGGTCCACGGCCGCAATGATTTTCCCTTTGTTTCTGCAAAGTCTCTCCATGCACGGCTGAGGTTCCTCCATCCACCCATACACGGACCAGCCCCTCCTCTGGGTGTGGACGCTGCCATAGCTCTTGTTCCTGGAGAAGAGCTTCTTTCTTCCTGGAATTCAGTTCGTTAAAATGTCGTTGATCCCACTGCTCTTCCCTAGCTCCATAGAAAGCTAAGATTTTTATTTTTTCTGGAGTTTTCTTGTTGTTACCACAGGAACAGAGGTCTTTTACATCTCTCTACATCCTAATTGGAAGTCAAAACCTCCATGAGTGTGAGCTATTTCTATTATTAGTGGGCAGTGGTGCATAAAATGAGCACACACAGAAGAATATAATTGCAATGAAGATTAGCGCTAGGACGCAGATGTGCGTGTTCTCGGAGGGTCCTTTCGGGCAGGGTGCCCATTTTGCAGATGAGGTTAAGAGACACTGAGGACCTTCCAAGTTCACATCACTAGCAGAGAACAGAGCCAGGATTTAAACCCAAGTCATCCTACTCTAGAATCC